TGATTTTGCACATTCGGCGTCCTGTAGGCTTCTAGGATTTGGGATTCTGTCTCATTCTTCAAGTCTGGGAAGTTTTCTTGTATTATTTCATGGAATAGACTGCTCATTCCTTTGGTTTGGAGCTCTGTACCTTCCTGTATCCCAATGACTCTTAAGTTTGGTCTCTTAATGTTATCCCATATTTCTTGGATGTTCTGCTCATGGTTTCTTAACAGTCTTGCTGAGCTGTCTATGTTCTTTTCCAGTTGAAATACTTTGTCTTCATTGTCTGATGTTCTATCTTCTAAGTGTTCTACTCTGTTGGTAGTATTCTCCATTGAGTTTTTAAGTTGGTTTATTGCTTCCTGCATTTCTAGGATTTCTGATTGCTTGTTTTTTATAACCTCTATCTCCCTGTATAGTCGATCCTTTGCTTCCTGGATTTGTTTGCGTAATTCGTTGTCGAAGTGATCTTTCATTGTCTGATTTTGCTGTTTAATGTCTTCCTTGATACTCCAGATCATCTGAAGCATGTATATCCTGAATTCTTTATCTGACATTCCATCTGCTGCAGCTGTTACCTCTTCTAAAGTTGCGTTGACCTGCATTGCTTGTGGTCCTTTCTTTCCTTGTCTTTTCATACTGCTTGCGTATCTTTCCTGCAGGTGCGGGCGGCGGCTCTGCTCTCTCCTTATTCCAATTGGGGTGTCGTGGCTACCACGCCGGCAGGTCACTGGGCCTGTTCTGGGAGCTGGTGGCGGCTCTGTTCTGCCCCTACTCCAATTGGGGTGTCGTGTCTGTCGTACCAGCAGGCCACTGGGCCTGTCCTGCTGGTCGGTCGCAGATCTGCCCGCCTTTCGGGCACGAGTGGAGGCTCTGCTTTGCCCCTACTCCAATTGGGGTGTCGTGACTACCCCGCCTGCAGGATGCTGGGTCTGTTCCTGGCAAGGGAGGCGACTCTGCTCTGTCCCTACTCCAATTAGGGTGGTGTTTGTACCCCGCCGGCAGGCTCCTGGGCCTGATCCGCCGGTCTGTTGTAGGTCTGCCTACCTTGAAGGCGCGGGCGGCGGATCTGCCCTGCCCCTCCTACCACGCCTGCGGACCCCTGGGCCTGATCTGCAGGTTGATCACTGGTCTGCTCACCCTGCGGGCACGGGTGGCGGTTCTGCTCCACCCCCACTCCAATTGGGGTCACGTGACCACCACACCGGCAGGGCCTGATCCGGGCGTGGGATAAGGATCTGCTCTGCCCCTACTCGAGTTGGGGTGACGTGTGTACCACACTGGCAGGCCACTGGGCCTGACCCGCCAGGCTGTCACAGGTCTGTTTACCTTGCAAGCGCGAAGGGCGGCTCTGCCCTGCCCCTCCTACCACGCCCATGTACTACTGGGTCGTGGGTCTGCCCACCTGGCGGGTGTGGGTGGCGGCTCCGCTCCGCCCCCTCTCCAATTGGGGTCACGCGGTCACCACGCTGGCGAGCCGCTGGGCCTGCTCCGGGGGCTGGCGGCGGCCCGGCTCCTTCCCTCCGGCTCGAGGACAAATTGAGGAGACTCGGGTGACTGAGCCTCACCCCCCTTACCAGAAGACCAACTGCTTATGTCACCGCTGGTATTGATGAAGATCTCTCCTCCACCGCTTTCTGCTGACATCAGATCTCTGCCATGTTGGTATCCTATGCGAATGGCAGCATTTCGTTCCCCTTGCCAGGCAACCCAAGCAATGGGTGAGTCCTGACCTGCCCTCAGCAGGACCCGGACCGAGACACCCAAATTTCTTATTTGACTTTCTCTTGAATCAATTTGGAACCTCAAATTTAAATGTCTACAAATCAGGTTCAATCATGACCTTTGCCTTAATCCTGTTCCCCTGGGTTTCCTCTGCTGGTGAATTCACAAGTCAATCTGAGCTCCCATATAGTTTTTCCATTTGTCAGGCTGTCTCCTGGGCTTAAGTGTCAAAATTGCTTTTTTAATGAGCTTAGCACCTAGTGGAGAAGCACCCAATAGAGTGAGCAGAGTCACCCAGAAGTATCATGTGGCTGACACTGCAGTAACCAGGCTCACCCTGAGCATCTAGAATCCACGTCTGATAGCTGAGAGCCTGTTTCCTTTCATAGGACAATAGCATTGAACATCTCCACAGACTGTCTAAACCTCCCCTTGCTGTGTACTTTCCTGTTCCTTCTCCAGGTACACTGCTCACCTGAGTCATACAGAGTCCCTGGGGAGTTTTTCTCCACCGTTTTTCTCATTTTTATTTCATTACAATCATGGTATTTGTTGGGATATTTCACATACATGTTTGTGATAAAACGATTTTTCTACCTAAACTCTATATTCCTTTTCCACATTATGAGTAAATAAACATTTATTTTCACATTCAAAGTCTTTGTGAGCTTTTGCCCTGCCATTCTACCTTAACTCCTCCTCCTATAGCCTGTACAGAACCACAAATAGATTCCATTTGTAAAGATGATTCTTATTCCTGGACCACAAGATTCCCTTGTCTCTGAGTCCTTTTGGTCCTTCTGCTTATCCCCTTCTATATTTATTTATGACCAGGCTCCAAATTATCTACTATAGAAGTTCTACCATGAGGATTTGGGTGTTCATCAATTTATTGTAAATGAGACAATTTCTAAACCTAAAACATAAACATAGTTTTTCCAATACTTCCATAACTAAAATTTAAACATAAAAATTTTCATCAAAGAATAAGAGTACACAGATATAATGAATAATGAAACTATGGCCGTTGCCAGTAAATGGGTAGAACTGAAGACTGTCACACTAACCTGAAATACACCAATCCCCCAAACCAAAGGCTGAATGTTATCTTTGATATGTGGATATTGACACACAATAAGGTGGTGGGAGAGAAAAAAATAGAAGTTTATTGTATTAGATAAAGGGGAATGACAGGAAGGGAGGATGATGGGAATAGAAAAGAAAATAGAATGAACAAGACAGAACTTTTTCATGTTCATAAATAAATACATGATTTGTAAAACTCCACATCATGTACAACTGCAAGAATGGGGTTAGAATAAGTGATATTCCATGTATGTATAATATTTCAAAATACACTGTATGGTCATGTATTTCTAAAAATAACAAATAATTTAAAAAGCCCCAGAAGTTCCTTTCAAAGTTTCTTAGAGCAAAAATTTAAAGTATCAATTATATATTCTATTTTTGAAAGGTCTTTTCTTCTTATTTTTGGAGAATATTCATGGAAAGTTCCCAGATTCTCCCTTTATTGCATAGGAAAGGAAGCTCTGTATAGGACATTGTATTAAATGTCTTGATTGATAATGAAAACTTTGACGAATGAATCCTACCATAATTATACCAGACCAAGAGGTTTTAAATGTAATCAAAAGCCAATTCATCAATCCCAATAGTAGATTGTATTATCATTTAAAATATAATTAAAATTATACATTAAAAATATCTAAAATAATATGGATTAAAAAGGAGAATGAATATAATTTTCCTCATTTTTTATATTTGATTTACTGTACATATTTACATGTGATATATCTATTGCTATCTATTTTTAAAAATACTTAATATTTTAACATTGAAAGAGAAGAGTATCACTTTGATTGTTATCAGTTATTTGTAATCAACAACGATTAATATCGTTTCTAAAGTATTTGAATAAAGCATTGACTATAATCAAGAACAACTTTGAAAGTGTCTCACCAGTGTATTCTACCCTAGCAACCGACCCTGAGGAACTGCTCCTTGCCATGCTTTCTGTCTTCATTTCATACTAGCAGAACTTCCAAGGCCTTATCATTCAGAGAAGGGTCATGTTCTGACATAAATGTCCAAATGCACTGTAGTGTGTGTGTGTGTGTGTGTGTGTGTGTTAAGTGTTAATATTGTGGAATTACAAGTCTGGTCTTTCTCCTGGCCCCTGCTGGGTTAGAACAGACCGCCCTCAAGTTTATGTTAATCAGATCATTCAGGTGGTTTAAGAAAGCAGGATGGCTATACTAGAAAGACAAGAGATCACTAGAAATTTGGAGCTTTGACTGCATTCTACAAAAAATTCTCCTCACCTTCATGAAGTTGAGGAGACTGGAGATTGAGTTTAATTTAGTAGAATTATATTTATGTGTTTAAGGAATAAAGACTCAACAAATACCATGGACTCACATTTTCTGAATAAACTTTTGTGCTTGTTAATTCTATGAAAATATCAAGAGAGTGGGGGCATCCTGAAGATAAAGATGCTCAAAATCAGCAAACTCCAAGAAGCAGACTTCTTGGTCTCTTTAACTGAATTGTTATGATTTGAATTCTCTATAATAATACTGTAATCTTTTAAAAAATAGAGTTTTCATTTTGTTCTGTGACTAACTGTTTTGAATCAGAAAATGTGAAGTGTTCATGGAAATTCCTCAAGTTGTGGTGAAGTGACCCTAAATATAATCTGTCTGGTACCTCTGAAAATGACTGGTGTCTCAAGCAAAGTCAGTATTAACCTGCAAGATTTGACTTTGATCTAGGTAATTAGAAACATAAACACATTGCAGAGTGATTTTACATGCACACAAATAAATTGACTAAAAGGATGGCAATGAGGCAAATCCCAAAGCCACCTTGGATGCAGAGAAGGCTTAGAATCCCCTATCTTGGGTGTTGATCAGTTCTGTTTTTACCTGTCTATAACAGTCAGAAATACACACCTTGAGAGTTCTGTGCACAAGTAAGTGGTGGAAGGTAGCAAGGTGGGTGAAGCCCAGGTGGAAAACTTGTGTATGTTACCCTATTAGTCAGGGTCAAGATCTGGAATTTCAAGGGAAATATTCAGATCCCACCACTGTATGGAATACTCATATTTTTTGAATATGGACAAAAGTAACAGAAGATGGTGACAAAAGGAATTATATGATGTACATATATGTAAAGCGCATTACAATCTCTAAAATAAAATTACAACAGCATACTCATGACTGGGAATAAACACATCTCCAAATCAGAATCAATATTTCAACTACTGCTAAGAATGTATTTTTATATGAGGAATATTTAATGTGAATTAAGTTTATAAAATATCTGGGAAGTTAGATATTATTAATCATGATAAGGAAGCTCCTAGGAGTTTTTGTCTTACTTCCCCTTTGCCTGTGTCACTGTGCATTACATGAAGATGCTCCGACTGCTATGAGATGCCCCACAGTAGTAGACATTCTCATCCTCTTCCTGGGTGTTCTGGATGGTCAGGTGCCGCAGCGTGGCTGGCTGGGCAAAATAAGCGGAGGGTGACGAATAACTTGTGAACGTTGATACAGCAGGAGTAGGAGCCCTTTATTGCAGGACAGGAGCAGTATTTATACATTCCACAGAGCTTATCTAATTAGCATAAACTAGATACATCAGTCAACCAATAAGGAATCTCCACACTTAATGGCTTGTTTTTGTTACTTCTCAAACCACCCCCTCAGGCATTTTGCCAGGCACCATCCAGACTTGTTTATGAACTCTAACATTCCCCTGGCAAAATGCCAGGTGTTATTTTTGACTTGTTTACAGACTCTAACATTTCCCCCTTTTGTTTAATTTAAATAACGACCATAGTGGTTTTTACAGAAACACCATAAATAACCTGCTACAAACAGAAAGGGAGGATACAAAATGCCACAATACCAAGCCACTTGATGGCTCCATGCAAGAAGCCCTTGGAAAAATTATACCAGCAATGACACTGTTAGCAAAGATACCGAGTTACAATTTGTTATAGATTACAGTTTGTTGTCTCAGTCTAGGTAAAGCAGTGTCTCAATAGATTAACTCACAGTCCAGGTAAATCACAGTCCAGGTAAGTTCTGCAGGCAGCTAGCTTAAATCACAGTCCAGGTAAGTTCTGCAGGCAGCTAGCTTAATCCGAAGTCTCGTCCGGTTCTCAGCTGAAATCTCAGTCTGGTTTTCAGCAACACGGGAAATTTTTCCATCCTCGTCCTCACCGGCACTGGGACGAAGGTAGGGACTCTTGTAAAGATGCTAAAGAAAATCCTGTAGCATTCCACTAAGAAAACAACCTTCTGAACAATTTAGTACATTATCTCAAGGTTTTTTTACATTTGAAATAAGCCTTAATGGTGCTCATTACTCATTAGCTTCCAGGTGTGGGAGAACCATTGTAGCTTAGTTATTGGCATTGAAAATGACCAAACATCAGGGACACCAGTAGTGTCTTCTGCGGCTGTAGCGTCCCGGGTAGCCCCAGATGGCCCTGGGGAGAGTCCCGGACTCAAAATGCTACTGGGCACAGGGAGCAAGAGCCTGTGAGACTGTGTCTCCAGGTCAGGTCTAGACTTGGGCTTGTGGCAGTGGAAGAGCCAGCTCCCCGGCCGGGAGGCGGGGAAGGGCCAGTTGCCGCCGCCTCTTGGAAACTCCTTGCTGCGCTGTGACCGGCTTGCACACTCGGCAGCCGCCTCTCCGCTTCACGCACCCTCCGGTAACGAAAAGTATTTAGTAATAGCCTTTTGCTGCAATGTTTTTTCTGATAATCTTTCTTCTTCTGAACTTTCTGTTTCTTTCTGACTAGAGTTCCTGGGCTCTTATCAACACATGCCCTAACTATTCTTGGTTCCACTGGGGTGCCTTCTTCCCTTAGAAATTTACTTCTCACCCCTTCCATATTTTCATCACAAAGACAATACAATACACTGAGACAAAACAAGACACAAACATACTGTATCAATCTTCTCCATTTTCTCGAAATGGTCATTTTTTCCTCTCGCCCTATCTGCCTAGGGACGAGCAGATTTGCTCCCGTCCTATCTATGGACGGGCAGCTTTTTTTCGTCACTTACCCCCGAGTGTCCCGGGGCTCCCCGTACGGGCCACCATCTGCCGCAGCGTGGCTGGCTGGGCAAAATAAGCGGAGGGTGACGAATAACTTGTGAACGTTGATACAGCAGGAGTAGGAGCCCTTTATTGCAGGACAGGAGCAGTATTTATACATTCCACAGAGCTTATCTAATTAGCATAAACTAGATACATCAGTCAACCAATAAGGAATCTCCACACTTAATGGCTTGTTTTTGTTACTTCTCAAACCACCCCCTCAGGCATTTTGCCAGGCACCATCCAGACTTGTTTATGAACTCTAACATTCCCCTGGCAAAATGCCAGGTGTTATTTTTGACTTGTTTACAGACTCTAACAGTCAGGTATCGATCCAGGCCAGAGCCTGAGCCTGAGAAGCGATCAGGAATTCCATCCCCCTTGGATCCCACAATGCCACTACTGCCCACATGCATCACAAAACGGGGGCTCTTCCCTGGGCTTTGCTGGAACCAGTTCACCACATAACTATTGTAGCCACTGCTCAGAGTGCAGGTGAGTTTGGCTGTTTGTCCCACGGAGGCAGATGCAGAGGGAGGCTGAGTCAGCACAGGTTGGGAGAGGGACCCTGTAAACATAGACACATCATGGTAGAAAACAGCCACTATACATGTGTTTGGGGGATCTAAACCAGTGAGGATAAACTCAGAAAAGGGGTCTGCCATGGGGCACAGAGGTCTATCCCTACCTGGGCTGTGAGTGAGCATCATAAGGACAAGAAGAGTCCTGACCATGTTGGACAGTTTCTTGAGTTCCAGAGCTGCTGTGGGCTGCCCTCAGCCTTTCTTATCCCTCCCCACTGGCCTCAAGGTGGAGCAGCTCATGCAAATGTGACTCCACCCACTACCTCTCACTGGCTGCTTTTCTGGGCCTGGAATGATGTAAAAGAAAATCTGGACTGTTGTGATGCTTTTATTTGCCTGATGGGCAGAACCTGGGAGGAAGCAGGTGGTGGGGCTCTGCTGAGCCCATATCAGTGACACAGGATTCATCTCCTCTGTCCACCCCTGTTCAGATGTGAAGTCCTCTGGGGACATCTCAATCTGTGAACATACTTCAAATGTCCCCAAAAAAGTGTTCCATGATCTCCTGAAAATTACACGTAAAAGTTTAATCTTCTCTTGGATCCTGTCTCTGACTTTTTACCTTTTCATTTGAATATTAAAAATACTGATGAAGATATTTCTCGGTCAAGTATTGTGCTCAGTGAATGACCACATGCAGTGTAAAAATTCACTGCATGTGGTAATTTGAGCGTTTGTTTTCTACCAAAAATTCACCAGAAACCAATAATCAAATATGAAAAGTATCATGAAAAAGGAGCATAGAGCTAAATGTTCTCACTGCTTAGGGTCATTTTGGAAAACCAACTCAGGTGGTCATAATTAATCTGTTTTTTCATGTTCTATCATTATATCCTTCTTTCCAAATATAAGTTGGCTGAACTGGGTAAGACACTTGCCTAAAGATACATCCAGCACCCCACATTAGAGTTTGTGTGAACCTGATTAAATGAATGACATTTTCCCATAAATACTGAGCTACTGGGAAAAGAGGAAAATTTGGCATATATACCTATAATTGAAATGACTACAAATTAAGAAGAATAAATCAACAGAAATTATTTATCTTTCATCTGCATAGGTCAGAAGAGTACACGAATCTCACTGGGTTAACTTCAGCATGTTGACAGGGTTGCACTGCCTTCTGCAGGCTTCAGGAGAGATACTATTTTCTTGCATTTTTAAATACTAGGTATTACCCACATTCCTTGTCTGGTCCCTGTCTCCATCTTCAAACCAGAAACCCTAAATGGAGACCTTCTCACATCATACCACTCAGGTTGATTCTTCTAACCTTCTCTTCCACTTTTAAGGACCCTCATGATCCCACTGACTCCAGGTAAATTTCAGGATTACCTCCTCCTGACCTTAATGTGAGCAGATTAGTAACATTAATTTCATGTGTAGTTTATTATCACTTTATTGTACACACTAGCATATTCATAGAATCCAGGTATTAGGGTGTGCACAATTTTTTTTTCTTCTGCTAACCACACTGTTCTTTTCAGGGGGACTTTTAACCATTTATGAATACTTATTAAAAATATAATAAGATATCACCTAAAAGGCACAAACATATAAAGTTGTGCTTTGTTGTGCTTTTACATTACATATGTACAATTCTTCATAGCACATTTGGTAGTTTATAATTAAATCATATATATATATATATATATATATATATATATATATATATATATATATATATATATGATTTGTACTATGGTTTCATTATTATGTACATCAGAAAGCCACTAAGAATGTCCTGTGAACATACATCATGAATTTGATTTTCTGGTTTATGACTTTTTAGCACCATGTATAATACAGAGTAGAGTTATCTCTTCTTCCCCTGTGAGTTAGTAGCACTGAGTAAATCTTAGGGCTGTTATGCCATGTACTACATAATAATCAACTCAGGCTATAGCTCAGACATATTCAGAACCAATGTGTGCTTTTCCAGGCATCTTTTTTCCAGGTAAATTCACGGGAAAACCAGAACCCTGATACTTTGCATGAGTCTGAGTAGCATAGAAGACACCAGGACAGGTTCCCTGTAATCTATTGGTACCACTGTATGTAAGAGATGGTGAAAGTAGAGCCACTGTTCCAGGGGTAGGCGAGTCTGGCAGGTGCTTCAGGAGATGTAGAGACAGAGGGCAATTGACTCAATACAAGCTTGAGAGGGAACTTTCAAACACAGATAGGAGTATAGGATAAGATAAGGGGAGGAGAAATTTTTCTCATGGGTTCTGAGACTGAGTGATTGATGTGAACTAATAATTGAGATGCTGAAGATTGATGTTAATGCAATAATGAGGAGGTGTAAGATAACTCTAGGTTTTAGTGGACACACTCCCCAATTCTCATAGTGAGGCTGGGCTACTCTAGATGTCCTTTAATTTTTCACCCTATGGTAGAGGAGGGATGTTAATGCAACTCTGTTTCCATGATGGTTGCCCCAGACTCTTGCTGAGCCCTGGTGCTGGAATGTAGCACACATTGCAGGGTGAGAAAGAATGAAGTTAGTTTCCTCCTTGAGGGAACCCTGGCAGGAAGCACCTGATGAGATGAGACAAAGGTCTCTTCTCCAGGGACTTAGTCAAGCCTGACAGAACACAGCTGCTAAGTCCCCATCAGAGCACAGCGGGTCCAGAGATGAGAATAGGGCTCATTTGAGTGAATGGTCCTAACTGAACAGTTGTGTGTGAACCACAAGGCAGTCCTACAGTGCCCTCTGGTGGTGAGAGAATACAAAGGGACACTACTGAAATATAGAAGACACTTAGAAAACATTTTGAAAATTTATATATACTCCAATACAATAGAAAATCTCGACACATCAACAAATTTATGGAGACATATGACCTACACAAACTGAATCAGGAGGATCTACATAATTTAAATAGATTAATTTAAAACAACGAAATAGAAGATGCCATCAAAAGTCTATCGACCAAGAAAAGCCCAGGACCAGATGAATTATCAACTGAGTTCTATAAGATCTTCAAAGAAGTACCACTAATTCTCCTCAAATTATTACATAAAATAGGAAAGGAGGGAATCCTTCCAAACTTATTCTGTGAGGCTAGTATCACCCTGATATCCAAACTAGAAAAAGACATATAAAAGAAAGACCAAAATCCCTGATGAACATAGACTCAAAAAAATCTCAATGAAATTTTGGCAAATTGTATATGAAAACATTAAAAACATAGTGCACCACGATCAAATGGGGTTTATAACAGGGATGCAAGTTTGGTCAATAAATGTGATTCTATAGACTTAAAGACAAGAATCATATGATATCTTAATAGATGTAGAAAAAGCATTTGATAAAATATGGCACTCTTCTATGTTTACAACACTAGAAAAACTAGGGATCTTAGGAACATATCTCAACATTGTAAAACCTATCTATGCTAAACCCAAGGCCAACTTCATTCTAAATGGGAAATACTGAAAGCATTCCCTCTAAAATGTGGAACAAGACACACTTCTTTTCAATATGGTCCTGGAAACTGAATCCAAAGCTATAAGACAGATGAAAGAAATTAAAGGTTTATGAATAGTAAAAGGAGACCTCAAACTATCACTATTTTTGACAACATAATTTTATATTTAGAAGATCCAAAAAATTCCATCAGGAAAAAGCTTCAAGAATAAATAAATGAATTCAAAGTAGCAGGATATAAAATCAACACCCATAAATCAAATGCATTCCTATACATCAGTGATGAATCCACTGAAAAAGAAATTAGGAAAACCACTCCATTAATACTAGTCTCAAAAAAATCAAATACTCAGGAATAGATTAGCAAAAGAGGTGAAAAACTTTTACAGTGAAAACTACAGAACACTAAAGAAATTGAAGAAGATCTTAGAAGATGGAAAGTTCTCCCATAGGCTTAATTAATATTGTCAAAATGGCCATACTACCAAAATTGTAATGCAGATTTTATGCAACTCCTATGGAAATCCCAATGGGATTTAATATTCATTTTTTAGTTGAAGGTGGACACATAATATCTTTATTTCATTTTTATGTGGTGCTGAGGGTTGAACCCAGTGCCTCATGTGTGCTAAGACAAGCATTCTACCACTGAACCCCAACCTCAACCCCAATGACATTCTTTATAGAAATAGAAAAAACAATTTTTTTCCAAAAAAATTATTTGGAAAAAAATAAGAGACCCAGAATAACCAAAGCAATCCTTAGCAAGAAGAGTGTACTAGGAGGCAACACAACATCAGATCTTAATTTATAATATGGAACCATAGTAATAAAAACAGCAAGGTATTGGAACCAAAACAGACACATAGACCAATGGTAGAGAACAGAAGACACAGAGAGAAACCACATAAATATAATTATCTCATCCTAGACAAATCCCCCCAAATATTCAGAGGATAAAAGGTAGCCTCCTCAACAAATGGTGCTGGGAAAACTGGAAATCCAAATGAAACAAAATGAAATTAAACCCCTATCTTTCACCCTGCACAAAAATCAACTCAAAGTGCATCAAAGACTTAGGCACTAGTACAGAGACCCTGAACCTAATAGAAGAAAAAGTAGGGTGATTTTCTTAACAATAATCCTAAAACAGAAGAAGTAAATCAAAATCAATAAATGGGATGGATTCAAATTAAAAAAAGCTTTTTTTTCAGCAAAGAAAATAATCAATAATATGAAGTGAGAGCCTACAGAATGGGAGAAAATCTTTATCATATGAACCTCAGATCATTAATCTCCAGGATATATAGAGAACTAAAAACACTCAACACCAAACCAAACAAAACAAAACAAACAAATAATCACAACAAAAACAAAAACGCAAATAACGTAATCAACAAATGGGCTAAGAAAGTGAACAGACACCTTAGTAATTTCTTAGGTGTTTTTTGTTAATTTTGCTGAATTGACAGTTTGCACAGTGTACATTCTATGTTCTATAGGTTAAAAAAAACTGTATAAATTTGAAAGTTGGTAATTTTTCTAACTAGGAGCAAAAAATAAACAATTTCTGATAAAACTGGGAGATGAGATCATTGTCTAAAGTGCAAAACTGATGGTCTACAATCTCAAATAGCTAAAACTCTTGCAGAATTGAAGGGAGAGACATGAAACTAGGAATAAATTGCAGTGCTAGTTAATTTAGGAAAGGGGAAAAAATGAGCTAAAGTAGGTATCAAATTGTCCCATTTTATTATTACCAAAGTAGTCAATATGATGTAG